TGTCCAAGTGACATAGTGGACATGTCCAAGTGACATAGTTGCCTTGTCCAAGTGACATAGTTGCCTTGTCCAAGTGACATAGTTGCCTTGTCCAAGTGACACAGTGGACATGTCCAAGTGACATAGTTGCCTTGTCCAAGTGACATAGCTGACTTGTCCAGGTGACATGGTGGACATGTCCAGGTGACACAGTGGCCATGTCCAGGTGACATCGTGGACATGTCCAGGTGACATCGTGGACATGTTCAGGTGACATAATTGACATGCCCAAGTGACATAATTAGTCATTTTTAGGTGATACTTTTTATTGCATTGAACAGCAAGTAAATCTGGTTGTTTTAGTCAAGATTATGCTTAAATAACATTATCTCCAACTGAATATTAAATTCCTGTAAAAGCCAACCTATAATATAGTAAATTTCAGTTTCATTTCCTTAAATTTCTGTTAATTTGCATAGTTTCCACCTCTAGAAGTTTCTTAAGTTTTGTTATCCTAATTGTCAGCACAGGGTGTTGGGTACTTCATACATTTCCAGTCTGGGTTAATTCAATCAAGACTTCCGTGGGTAGAAAAAAAAAAAAACTAAAATAAAGTTAAATACATTTTGTGTCTTTTGACAACTTTTTATATAGTCAACTAAAATCTGTTCAGGGAACACTGTAAGTAGAGAACATTTTCCTTAACCTAAACATGAAGTTGTTTTAAAAAAATACATGTTTTTTTGTATTACAGATTTCATCATGGAGGGAACTTCCAAAAGTGATGCTGTGGGTGAGCCAACCGTTGCTGCTCAGGTTCCTTTCCTTCACTTGTGTACCACTTTAGAGAAAATTCAGAGGTCCAAACTGCGTCCAGATAAATCCAAGATCCTTGGGGATTTCCTTGAGTCGTGGCGTAAATTTCATTCCGTCCTCCACAAAGACAGTCCCAAAACTACAGACTCGTTCTATCCCGCCATGCGTCTTATTGTCCCCCCTTTTGAACGAGAGCGAATGGCGTATGGCATCAAAGAAAGCATGCTCGCTAAGCTCTACATAGATGTTTTAGGCCTGCCCAAAAATGGTCCGGAGGCCAATAAACTGCTAAACTACCGCGCTCCGACCACATCCCAAGGAGAGGCGGGAGACTTTGCCAGCATGGCATACTTTGTGCTGAAGAAGCGATGCACAAGCCAAGGAAACCTCAGCATCAAAGAGGTCAATGACTTTCTGGACTCGGTGGCAATCAACAATGCTAGCAAGCAAAAGGATCAAGTGAAAAAGAGCCTGCTCCACCTTATCACTCAGAGCTCTGCTCTTGAGCAAAAGTGGCTCATTAGAATGATTCTGAAGGACATGAAACTTGGCATCAGCAAGGAAACCGTCCTCCAAGTCTTCCACCCGGATGCCGCCGATCTATATAATGTCAACACAGACTTGAACAAGGTCTGCCAGAAACTACACAACCCTTCTGTGTCTCTAAGTGAAGTCTCCATCGAACTCTTCTCTGCTTTCAAGCCAATGTTGGCAGCGGTGGCTAACATTCGCAACGTGGAGAAGCAGATGGGCAACAGCCCTTTTTACATTGAGACAAAGCTGGACGGGGAGCGGATTCAGCTGCACAAAGATGGGGATGTGTACAAGTACTTCAGCCGGAACGCTTTTGAATACACGCAACAGTTTGGAGGCTCACCGCTGGAGGGATCACTGACTCCCTATATTCACAATGTCTTCAAAAGCCACGTCGTAAGCTGTATCCTGGACGGTGAGATGATGGCATACAACCCGAAGGCGGACACGTTCATGCAGAAAGGGAGCAAATTTGACATCAAGAGGCTGATGGACGACTCGGAGCTGCAGACTTGCTTTTGTGTGTTTGACGTCTTGTTAGTGAACAACCAGAAGCTTGGCAAAGAATCGCTGAAAAAGAGATACGAGACTCTACAGACTGTTTTCACACCAGTCAAGGGACGGCTGCATCTGGTGCCGAAGACTGAAGGCAAACGCATGCAACAGGTGGTCAGTGCTCTTAACGATGCCATTGACAACAGGGAGGAAGGGATCATGGTTAAGGATCCTTTGTCCATATACAAACCAGATAAACGTGGGGAGGGCTGGCTAAAAATAAAGCCAGAATATGTGGATGGCTTGATGGACGAGCTCGATCTGGTGATTGTTGGTGGCTACTGGGGGAAAGGGAGACGAGGTGGTATGATGTCACATTTTTTATGTGCAGTAGCTGAAGCTCCAAAGCCTGGCGAGAAACCATCTGTATTCCACACCCTCTGTCGCATTGGCTCAGGATACACTATGAAAGAATTGTATGACCTCGGTTTGAAACTCGCCAAGCACTGGAAGGTCTATCGCAAAAACGACCCACCAGCGTCCATCCTGTGCGGGACAGAGAAACCAGAGGTCTACATTGAACCCTGCAACTCTGTCATTATTCAGGTCAAGGCGGCAGAGATCGTTGGAAGCGACATGTATAAAACCAACTGCACTCTGCGCTTCCCCAGAATTGAGAAGATCCGTGACGACAAGGAGTGGCACCAGTGCATGACTCTCGCCGAGCTGGATCAGTTCCGCAGCAAAGCGTCAGGGAAACTGGCCTCGCGGCACCTTGATATCAACGTCGACGAACCGCAGAAGAAGAAGAGGAAGCAGCCAGCCAAACCCAAGAAGGTGGTCGGCATCATCGACCACTTTAAGCCGCAAGACCTGTCAGGCGTTTCCAAGGAGACTGATATGTTTGAGGATGTGGAATTCTGTATCCTGAATGGCACCGAAGATCATCCCAAGGCTGAGCTGGAAAAAGGCGTGGCCAGGTAAAAGGAAAAATGTGAAGAATCATATTTTGTTTAGGCCAAATTGCTGATGTAGGTCAAAACATTTATTTATGCTCTAGTTAACAGCAAAAACTTAATCCAATAAAAGATGTAAACAAAGGGTGCAAGCGCGCAAACTACAAAATTCAAAGGAATATTTTAAATCTTTTGAAATCTAGTTTTGTGAAAAAGCACCTGGATTACATTTTATACAGTTAAATTTTGACCAGACTGATGAGCATACAGGTCGTCGGAGCGTTCATGATAACTTCAAAAATAAGTGAGATACAGACTTCGATTTTGGTGCGGGGCTACATCTTGGTGTAAGGAAGGTTTCTTTTGAACAGTGGGTTGCCACGTCAAAATCCAAGATGGCCATCGCTCTCTATATATGTAAACTGACCACCTCCTATCAATTGAAGAAATGTCTTTCTAGTTTTTACATTGCTTAAATGTTCAATTTTCTCAAATGATTGGGGTGGCCGAAAACTAAACTATGGTAGTCATGGCCATCTTTGGCCACCTGGTTCCGCCATTGCACCTGGTGATGAATAACATTAGGGATCTGTCACTCCCCCAAGGTGGAGGAGAAGGATGCGACCGAGTCACATCCGTGTTGCCCGTCTGCTAGCTTAGCGCTGCGTTGCTGTTGGTTTTTATCAATGAATGGGGAATGGGAGACGGAACGGAGCCATGTCTGTGTTGCACGCCTGCTAGCTTAGCGCTACGTTTCTGCAGGTTTGTATCGGGGGGGCGGAGAGGACAGAGTCACGCCTGTGTTGCCCGCCTGCTTGCTTAGCACTATGTTGCTGCTGTTGATTTTTATCTACGACAAGGGGAAGGGGGATGGGATGAATTCACATCAGTGTTGCCTGCCTGCTAGCTTAGCACTACATTGCTGTCAGTTTTTATCAATGACGTGGGAGGGGGGAAAGGCTGTGTTGCCTGTCTGCTCCTGCTAGCTTAGTGCTTCGTTGCTGCTGGTTTTTATCGACAGTGGGGGTGGGGGCGTCGCGGTACGTTGGTAGCATTTTTGCTAGCACGTTTGTGAAGCGCCCCACGCTACGTTAATGTAGACAGTTGTCAGGGGGCAGGTAGGGCTCAGTTCTGTTGACAAGGTGGGACGTCCCACTTTTATAATGGTAGGGGGAACACTGGTGTAACTCCTACCCACATTATTATTTTGCACCAGAAAGGTTATCATTAGGGCTGATCCAATCCAGTATCCGTATCGGCCTCCGATACCAGCATAATTTACGTATAGGATTTTTCCGATCCATGATGCGCGTTGGCTTCAAACTATGGAATGGATTTCCTGAACGGCGGCGTGTCTCATGAGCCCAGAGTAATAAGACCTGCCTCACATTCAGGAAATCCATTCCATAGTTTGCAGCAGCTACAACGTGAGGGCTGAGTTAGCAGCACTGTGGCTAACAGCTAACAAACTTTTCATCTAAACATGTCCGCTGTGTGGAAGTATTTTACTCTAGAAACACCATAAAACAAGACAGCAATGTGCACTGTCTGCAGAGCCATAGCGCCACATTAAACCGCGGTAAAGTTAGTTTTACGTTGGACATTCGAGCTCCGTGGCTTCAGCGGGGCGCTGCTCTTGCTCAACCCGAAGCAGGCAGCCCGACCCCCGCCAGCCGTGTCCAATCTGCCCCGCTCAGTCTGCCCGTCTCCGAGGAGGGACAGACTGAGCGCGACTGACTGAAATCAGGCTGCCTGCTTCGGATTGAACAAGAAGAAGACGTCGCTGAAACCACGGAGCTCAAATGTTTACAGAGAAGTTGATAAACTTCATCATAATTAATGACCAACCACTATCAGTTGTAGAAAACTAATGAGTTCACAGTTTAATACTTGCAGCCAAGATATAGTTTACCCTCCAGGAGACATTTATCAGTACAACAGTAGACAATCATTTAAAAATAGCATATGATTTGAAAATTATTTATATTAAATTAAAAGAAAAAAAACGAAACAAAACATCTACATTATAAAGTGATGTAAAATACTAAAAACAGGAACATGTCTGTTGGTTTATGCCATGAACTTAGCAGATGTTTAAATCCATTTAACATTTTATTTTATTTAATTCATTCATTTAAAAGAAACAAATTTTTAAAAAAAAATCATCAAAAAGAAAACGTTGAATGAAAAGAGTGCAGAAAGAAGAAAAATAATCTTATATCTGCCCCTTTTTAAAAAAAATATAAAACAACTTTAAACAATCACTTAAATTAATCACTTTAATATCCACTTTAAAACTAGGAATAAAAAGAAACATGTTTTGTGTTAGCAGAATTTAATTCTAACTTTAAACCTTATCCAAAATTAATAAAACTTACCTCAAGTTGCCTTTTTATACATGCATGCATGCATACATTTGTACAAATTGTACTTGAGAGATTATTACAGCCTCGTATAAAATCAATGATCATGATATCGGAACTGGATCGGTATCGGCCGATATTCAGATTTAAGTATCGGGATCGGATCGGAAGTTAAAAAAATTTGGATCGGTGCATCCCTAGTTATCATGCCACAAGTGTCCCAGGCTGCACTGGAAGTGTTAAAGCTAGCTGCTGCTGCCAATACTTGGGTTTTCAAAATAACCATTATTATTATATTTGAATAGCCATGATGTTACTGTAAAGGTTTATTAAACTGTTTGCATGAACCTTGGTGAATTATTTGATATGAGAGATGCTTTAAGATGGCGGCAGGCTACTTTGGTCTTGTCCTCATTTTGACCGACCATTAGCTCATCAATCTGGTTACAACTTTTGGTTATAAGTTGCTCATAAAACTCACTTTAAAAACACTTTTCATTGCTCCTTCGTGTGTTTCAGAAGAAGTCGTTAATGAGTGCTTCATTCATTTCTTGATTTCACTTTAGGTGTGGGGGTGTTGTGGTTCAGAACCCCGGGCGGGACACTTATTGCGTGATTGCCGGTATGGAGAACATGCGTGTGAAAAACCTGATCTCATCTAATCAACATGATGTGGTTTGGGCCTCCTGGCTGCTGGAGTGCCTGAACCAGAAGGAAGTGGTGCCGTGGCAACCTCGCCACATGATCCACATGTCTCCGTCGACCAGGGAACACTTCGCCAAGGAGTACGATGTCTACGGCGACAGCTACTTCGCCGACGTGGACGAACAACAACTGCGCGAGGTGTTCGGCCGAATTGGCAACACAGAGAGGGCAGCGGTGAACGCGGCGCAGGTGGAAGAGCGCTATGGGTGGGAAGACCTCTCCACGAGCATGTTCAGACCCTTTAAGGTTTATGTGGACATTTTTGCCGACATTAGTGAGCCGACAAGCGTCGTACCCGCTTCCTGTTTGGACATTCGAGCGCTGGAGGTGCGCTACCACGGGGGGACGGTGGTGCGGACGTTGGAGGAAGGAGTTTCCCACGTGATTGTCGAGGAGGAGACGAGACTTCTGGATCTGAGAACTCTGCGGCGCAGCTTTACAAAGAAGTTTAAGATCGTTAGGGACTCCTGGGTGACTGATTCGATCAAAGCAGGGTATCTGTTGGATGATACCAACTACTTGGTTTGACTTGCCCTTGTGATAAACACAAGGTTTTAGATGACACTGGAAAAAACTTTTCTTTGTAAATTTACGAATAAAGGTAGAAATTTGAAAAATGCTAATGTCATATCTTTGGGCTTTTACAAATATGAATGAATAAATTCTCTGGTTTACAATTTTAAATCAACTTCATACTGTAAAGTAAGATGCTTCTCAATTATTTTCTAACATTAATTAAACATTACTTTTGTATTTAAATTTAAAAAAAAATTGTCCTTTGGAAAAACTAAAAAATTGTTAGAGCGAAAGAGGACGAGGGGCATGTAATGCTTTCCCTTTGAGTTTATACTCTGTTGCATGCATGCTGTGAGTGACACGTGTCCAGAGCGTCACCAGCTCAGGAGGTGTCGGAGTTTCTCAGAGCAGAGGGGAGCGACACGGTTCAAGCATGGCTCCCCAAACGACAAGACAGCCATATTTGTTAATAACTTTATTATTAGTTAGCCCGGAAGTTGCCGGATTTACAGTTGCCAAACGCACACTGACAAAATGAAAATGGTGCAAAAAAAAAAAAAAAACACCCTGCTGCAAAATGTTCCCAGGGGGTCATGCCCCACTATTTGAGAAGGACTGCTGTAAAGTAAGAAGCATTTTGTCAGTTTTCATTGTCTTGTGTGATGTCAAAATCACTTCCTCCTCAAGCTGGGGACTTTTCACAAGGAGAAGTATTCGGCTCGAAGGACCATAAAAATGAGAAGATTGAGTTGTCTCCAAAAGTTTCTGGTTTAGAGTGGCAAGCTGTTGGAGGGTGCGTTCAAGTTAAAGAACAGCTGATGCAGATTCCAGATTGAATGGTTTATTGAGCTGTAGTTTACGGGTTTAAGCCATCCAGTTATGAATTACAGATGTAGTTATCAGGTAGTAATTTATCCGGTTGTGAGTTACAAGTTGAGCTTATCATTTGTATTAAAGGTTTGGGTTTATCGATGGTGGGGCTAACAAATGTACCAGGAGCCTTGCTTCATCTCCAGTAATAACCATCAGATTAGAAATCCACATAGAAGTTCTCCACTATAATAATCTATCAGCTAGCTATTAGCTTTACTCTTAAATTGACTTTTTTCTGCAAACACTTTGGTATACACAGTTCATGTTGACTTTATTAAGATTAGACTTCTGACAAGAATCTAACAGTTGAAGCAGGGAGGGGACGAGTTCCCCAGTGGACTGGTCCCATTACAAATTTTAGGTCCCGCCTGCTCACGGAAATGTCATTGCCTTCGTAAAAAGAAAAAAAGGCAACTTAAATATTTTTCTTAGGTAATACAGTAGTCTCTCGTTTATCGCGCAGGTTACATTCCGCCACCCCCCCCCCCCACACACACACACACACACACACAATAACTGAAAATCCACCAAGTAGGAATGCTATATTTATTTTAGTATGTACTGTATATATATTCTAAGGCTTTAGAAACCCTTCCCACACACTTGCAATGTTCTAAACTCTTAAATCTATGTAATTTTAACAACATACATATATTTACTGTACAGTAGCCACGTGCTGCAAGCAAAACCACACAAGTAAGTCCAAATCAAGATGAAAATGGTCTCTGTGAGTACCAGAGAAAACACCGGACATCCAAGCGACGCCTCCCCGCTCGAGAAGCCTCATGGGCCAGCAAGCAGCTCTCAGATTGACCAATGATGCTGGAAGCCCGGTTCTGGTCCAATTCCTGGTTGGTTCTGTACGGCTCTATGCATCTACTGAGCGCCAAAGTCGCTATGAATAAGGACCAAACTTTTTCGGATCGGATCAAAACTTTCCCTCCATTTCAGCAGAAAGCAATAGCCGGTAGCAGTGTTGGCTCCTGGGTAATGTAGTCCTTTTGACAGGCAATAGTGTAGGAGAGAAAACTACAAAGTGGCGGTGCCTATCCGAAGTTTTTTTTTGTTGTTGTTGTTTTTTACTGTATCCCGTACTGTTACAATCGTGAGTAATATTAAAGTTGACAATTGTGTCATGTACAATCTTACTTGGAAAAAACGCAAAATAGCAAGTATGCAAAAGTTGAACCGCGACGTAGCCAGGGTCTGCTATAATTAGCTCGTACCTTGCTCTTTTATATTAACATGTTTTTATTTCACGCTTTGAGAAAAAGGCCGTGCGACAGCACGACTGTATATGAGGTGAGTCGGCAGGGCTTAAAGATAAACGTCTCTCGTGAGCAGACTCTGGTTCCAAAAATACAACATGGCTCCTGTTAACTGGTTTCTGCTGACATCTAGTCCCATCAAGGTCAGGGGACATGCCATCAAGCATTCTTAATATAAAGTCTATGAGATTTGTTTATCAAAGAAACGTTACTTTTCCCTACTGCTCTGTCACGTGACACCAATGAAATTGTTCTATAAAATAACGAGTGCAGGAAAAGAATTGGTCTTGCCTCAGCGCTCAGGAAGAGGTCTGCAGACTCCACGGGGAGAGAAGCTGGAGGCCTTTCTCTGAAGGTACGGCCATGTTTTTCTGTTTTCAGAAATGCCACCGATGCGTCTTGAGACAGTTTTATGTTCTAACCTTCATCGGCGGCGTCTCTTGGGTGCAGGGAGAGCTGCCTGTGGCCCTCCGCCTATCGTTGTGCATAAATGAATGCATCGTCAAAGTGATCAGGTTCTTGTCGTGAGAACAATGTCGTCTTCCCTGGAGCGTCTCCGCCGACAGAACTTACTGGATGTGCAGCTGCGACTAATTAACTTTCAGAGGTAACCCAGCCCAAGATGGCCGCTACAGCTAAGCAACCTTACGACTACAGCTCAGCATGTTGAGTGAATGTGATCCTCATTACACCCCAAGGGCTTGTTTGATTGTGCAAGAGCTGTTTTTAAAACTTTACCCCCCAACTTCTGGAGTTAACGTTGTCTGTTCGCAAAATACCCCATGAACCACTGGATGGGTTTTAATAAAACCTTTGGAAAATAATCACTGAATGTAAGTTACCCCAATTCAAGATGGCCGCCTCAGCCAGTCGACATTAGCCAGCATGGTAATGGTTATAACTCGGCCAGTTTTACAGAAATCAAGCTAAAATTTGGTGCGGTGGTAGCTGAGAGTTACCCCGACACACACTTGGAGCACAGACGCGTCACTTTTATTTTCACACCTCCACCTAAGATCGCATGTAAAGTTATTTAACCAAAGTAAACCAGCTGTAGCTCCACCCCTTTCATCATAAACTGATTGAAACGATAAGCATCCCATCAAAACACATAAACCTTAAATTTTAACGGTGTCTGAAAGGAAAATGTGTTTATAAACCGTCTCGTGCCCTATAGGCGCTCTAACCCGTCGCCCACTCTGGATTATTTCTAGGTGATGCAGAGCGTTGGAGTGGCAGGCGTTAATTAGGGCTACTCAACCAGCGCTCATTCCTGCCTGCAGTGTTGTGAGACGTGCTGACAAGCTGAACTGTTGGCCCTCCTGAAAGGACTCGAAGGAGACCCTCGTCAGTTTCCAGGACCAGGCTGTGGAAAGCCGGCGTTGCAATAATACCGTCCCCCTTCTTCTTTCGGCTGCTCCCTTCTTCAGGGCTCACCTCAGAGAACTAACTCTTATGAAGACTTTGCGATTGTTTTTACGCCGGGCAGCCAGTGGCGCCGTGCGCGTAAGGGAGGCCGAAGAGCTCCCGAGGAGGCCGACCATGAGCCCACAGGGACGGCTCGTCGATCTGAGCCGCCTTCACTGGTCAGACGTTCAAGATTCAAGTCCGGAGATAGTTTGATAACAGACGCACGCGGGCACAAACTTTATCGACCATAACGGCCTTTCGATGTGTTTGCAGGAAGAATAAAGGACAAAGCTTCTCTACACACTGAGGAGGACATTAAAGAGATAGTTCAGATCTTAAAGTAGGGTTCCATGCCAAAAACGAACAATTAATATCTTACCTGTTGTAGATACAATTAAATGTCCTCAATTTGGAGCATTAAAAGTAAAGTTTCACATTAAATTAGTTAGCATTTGACAAATTGTAGCTTTTAGCTACTTTTTTCTATTTTTATTTAGCTGCCATTCTCAATTTTGCTTATTAGTTTGTTTAGATAATTTTAATTTATTTTACAAATTGTAGTTATTGTTTAGCAAATTAATCTTTTGCCTCTATTTTGCTACTATTCTGCTACTTTTAGCTTCTAGCTACCATTCTGCTACTTGAAGATTTCAGTTACCATTCTGCTCATTTTAGCTTCTAATTACCATTCTGCTCTTTTAAAATTACAGCTACAATTCTACTGCTTTTAGCTTCTAGCTACCATTCTGCTCCCTGAAGATTTCAGCTACCAATCTGCTACTTTTAGCTTCTAATTACCATTCTGCTCTTTTTAAATTACAGCTACAATTCTACTGCTTTTAGCTTCTAGCTACCATTCTGCTCCCTGAAGATTTCAGGTACCATTCTGCTACTTTTAGCTTCTAGCTACCATTCTGCTCCTTGAAGATTTCAGCTACCATTTTGCTACTTTTAGCTTCTAACTATAATTTATCTCCTTTTTTATTTTAGACACCATTCTGCTACTTTTAGCTTCTAATGATCATTCTGCTCCTTTTATATTTCAGCTACCATTCTGCTACTTTTAGCTTCTAGCTACCATTCTGCTCCCTGAAGATTTCAGCTACCATTTTGCTACTTTTAGCTTCTAACTATAATTTACCTCTTTTTTTTATTTTAGCCACCATTCTGCTACTTTTAGCTTCTAATGATCATTCTGCTCTTCTTAAATTTCAGTTAACATTCTGCTACTTTTAGCTTCTAGCTACCATATAGCTCCTTTTATATTTCAGCTACCATTCTTCTACTTTTAGCTTCTAATTACTATTCTGCTATTTTGAAGTTCCAGCTAACATTCTGCTACTTTTAGCTTCTAGCTACAATTCTACTGCTTCAAGCTATCATTCTGCTTTTAGCTTTTAGTGACTTTTTTGCACATTTAAGCTTTACATCTTTTTAGCAGATTTTAGCCTATAATTCTACTGTTTTGTTAATTTTATCTTTAGCGCGTATTTTGCTACTGTTCTGCTGCTTTGAGTTTTTAGGGTCTTT